CGCCTTCCCTCGGTGACGCAACTGGGTCACCCGGACACCTGGAGTTTCCACATAACGCAGGGTCGCGCATTCCATCAAATCCCACTCTATAAACACGTTCCCGGCCGGTCCAGGGAAAGGTCAGGGAGCCCCTCGCGCCAGGGAGAGCAGAATGAACGGGCGGGGCTGACGCAACGGGAAACTCCGAGGAAGGTAATTAGACACTCCGTACTCACTCCTGTTCATGGGGAGAGAAGCAGGTCGACTGGCGTTCGTCGTGAAAGAAGTGTCGACGAAGGCATGGATGAGAATGAGTATGTTCTTCTCGTTAATGAGAGTAAAATCATGATGAATAGCGTTCGTTGTGAAGCATGAATGAATATATTCTCACGGTGATGGGAGCAAAAGCATGTTGAATAGCGTTTGTTTTAATAAAAAGTGTTAGAAGATATTAATGAGAAAGAATATATTCCCAGCGGAGTAGAATTACCCGGTCTTTCGCTTACGCTAATTCAGATATAATCGAAACTTTCATTACAAATTATCAATTCTCACTTTTAATACCAAAATAATAATACCAAAATACCAAAAATTTTTCATTACAAATTATCAATTCTCACTCATACCAATTTCTTTCCAAAACCATATCCATGCACCCCCTCGTTTTCCATTGCCTCTCTCGGGACGCTTCAACTGCCCGTGATCCTCGTAAACAAAAGAGAACATTTACAAGAACCTGCAGTATAGGAACGCCCCTTTCTCCCTCCTTGAAGAAATACTCTCAGAGAGGAAAGACAATGCAGACATTTCGATTTTCCTGACGAGGCCGATGGAATGACGACGAGCGCTGTCAGGCAAACGAGCTCCTTTGACTTAATTACCGTGTTTAAAACCAGGGCGGTCACGGCACGCCCTTCGGGATTCTGCCCCATCATTCACCTTCTTGGCCTCGGAGTCTTATGCTCAAAGATTTATAATAAATACCAGTTTTCTTTCAGTTCGAAGTTGGAATCACAAATTGAATGGCTTCGTTGGATCGACTGGGATAATTTTCCTTCTCTTTATGTTTGTTTTTCTTTTTTTCTTATTGATAATGATGGTATGACTTGGATTTTCTTATCCTTTTCTTCTCTCTTTCTGCCCTTTTCTTATTTATGTCTGTCTCGTCCCCTCCATTTCTCTCTATCTCTT